ATAAAAGTAATAAAAGAGAGTTAAAGTTTGGTTTTTGGTTTTTTTTTTTTTTTGGTTTTTTGATTTGGGCAATTTCAAAGGGTACTTTCATCTTGAAGTCTACCCCAGTCCCATAATGTTTCTTGTTGATGTTGTTCTTCTTGATGTAGTAACCATGTTCTTGATGCTATTTTAGTAGTATCTAGATATTCTAGTAGGTGGTTCCAGTTTTTTCCAGTATATAATACTTTCAAAGTAAAAACTTTTTCCTTTACTTTTTGTAGTAAAACTTTCCTAGCTTCTTTTGTTTGAGAGCAGGACAGTAATAGATGAGCTGGACTCTGAGTAAAGTCTTTATTTTCTAGTATTCCTTGATGTCCTGGAACCCATTGAAGGTGGATTTGAATATTATTGTCTTTGAGGACTTGAATAGCAGAAAAGATTTGTAGTAGTAGTTGTTGTCCAGGTCCAGCTATAGGATGTTGTATTGTATCTAAGATACTTTGGTTGTCTGTAAATATCCAGATAGCTTTGGGATTTATAGTTGATCTATATGCTATCTATTCTATTGCTTTAGTTAAAGCAAAGAGTTCTGTATTATAGATTTCCATATATGAGCCCAGATGCCAGGAAAAAGTATATATATCTTGACAGTATGTAATATAACATCCTGCTCCTGCTGTTGTTTGTAGTGATCCATCTGTATATACTATACAATTTTCTTCTAGAATTTGTCTTTGAAGGATGTTTAGTATTGTTTGGTGTTTTTCCATTATATCAGACTTGGAATGCTTGTCTTTGATGATAGATATAGCTGGAAATTGTTTCCATGGGGGCCATTCAGTTATTGTGTAGGATTCTAGCTCTGGTGTAGTAGGTAAAATAGTAGCTAATTTAGCTAGTATTTGTATGTACTGAGTAGGATATGCTTTTGATTTTAACTGAGTAGGTTGTTGATTCTAGTCTAGATACTTGGTAGTATCTATATCTTGTCCTATTTGTGATATTGGAGGAAATTCTTTGGGGGTTCTTTGTCTAAGTGGATGTGACAAGCATAGTGTAGTTATTCTCAATGCATATTTATAGCTGTGAAGTTCTAGCCTGAGGTTGACAGATAATAAACATGCTTCTATCTCTATAGCTTGTATAGGACTTGTTTTAAAGCATCTAAGAATCTTTCTTAGGGCTTGATTTTGAAGTTTTTGAAAAAGGTTCTTGTAGTTTATTTGTTGTTTCCACCAGATTGGAGATCCAAAGTCACTAATAAATGTAGTACAAGCTTTGTATAAGATAATTCCAGCTGGGACAGACATTCCTTTTTCTGATCCAAGTAGTCTACTTAAACTATAAAAGGCTCTTGTTGCTGCTATTACTTTTCTAGTAACATGTTCTTTGAAAGATAGTTTAAAGTCAAACCAGATTCCTAACCATCTAACACAGGTACTAGGAACTATTATAGTTCCATTTGGTAGTGTACATGTAGCTTGGCTTAGTATTTTTGTCCTTTGAAAGTAGATAAGCTCTGTTTTTGTATCATCAAATGCAATAGCATTTTCTTCTCTCCAGGTAAAGGCTAGTTTAGTAATTTTCTTAAGGATTAAACAATTAGCTATAGGTATAGCTTTTTGAACTACTATAGTTATATCATCAATATAGCTAGATAGTTTGACTGTAGGGAATCTATCTTGGATATAGTTGAATAGAAATCTTAAGTATAATAAAAATAAAATAGGTGATAAAGGTGAGCCTTGTAGAATTCCAGTATTGATAGCTGTCATGGGTTGTTGTTGTCTATCAAAAGCTAGACTAATTTGTTTTTGTGTCATAAAGCATTTTGTTCAGTTAAGTACTACTTTTAGTAGTTGAAGTTATTGTAGAACTTGTAGTAGTTGTATAGTTAAAACATGGTCAAATGCTCCTTTTACATCCAAGAATAAGCAGGATAAAACTTGTTTTTGATTCCAAGCTTTTTGAATATCATGGGTAAGCATTATAGCTGCATCTATAGCTGATCTTTGTTTTCTACCTCTCATTTACTCTTGGTGTAGTAGATCTTGACTATCTTCTAGATAGAATAATCTAGTAGCTATAATCTTTTTTGAAATCTTGTCTAAGCAGTTAAGGAGTGTAATTATCTTATATGCTTTTGGTTAAGTATAATTAGGCTTTGATGGTTTTTTTAGTACTGCTCCTATGTCTTGTCTCCAGCTAATAGGATGATATCCTTAGTCTAATAGTATTTGATATACTAAAATAAACCATCTTGGAATGTATTGAAATGCTCTTTGAATGATTGTAAAAGATAATTGATCAGGTCCTGGAGCCTTTTTTGAAGCAAAAGTTTGAATGGCATGCTTGATTTCTTATTGAGTAATCTTTGACCAAGAGCATGTTTGAGCCTTGTATTGAACTCCTGTAGTTCCTTGACTTGTAGATAGTATAGGAAATAAAGTAGCTAAGAAAGCTGAACATTTTCTTTCAAAAGTAATTTCTAGAGTAGCTAGTCCTTGAATAAGAAGAAGTTTTTCTACTTTTCTTGGATTAGTATAGTGATATACTTTGAAAACATCAGCTCCTTTAGCATTTGTTAAAAAGTTTGTCCAGGATGTTTCTTTAGCTTGTTTAATACTTTTAAAAAAACTGTTTTTTTTAGTAGTATATTCTTTCCATAGAGCTTGGCTTTTGTTTTGCTTCCATTGTCTCTTTGCTTGAGTTACTTTAGTTTTTTAAGATGATAGTTGGTCATTCTACCATGGTTTAGATCTTGAAGATAGTTTAAATTGAGGAATAGATCTTTGACATGCTATTTTAATAGCATGTTATAGTGTACATGTTATTTCTTCTAGCCTGGTAGTTGAAATAGTATCTTCTAGTAATTCTTTTTGTAGTTGATCTAGATGATACTTTTCTTGCTCCTGAATTATACTTTGAAAGATCTTCCAGTTGGCCTTATTAACATTGAAAGAAGTATGTATAGGCTGAATAACTTCTTCTAATTTTGTTCCTTTTAATGTAAATTTAATTGCTTCATGATCTAATCCTGTTGCCCAGTCTTTTAGTATTTGCCAATCTTGTATATAAAGATATAGGTTGGGTGTAGAAAATGCCAAATCTAATACTGAGGAGGTATTTCTTTGATTTTCAAGATAAGTCATTAAATCAGGAGTGTTTATCAAGAGAAATTGATATTGTGTAAGCCATGTAACTAGTACATCTGCTCTAATAGAAATAGTTTTCATAGAATGCTACCATGCATGATATGCATTAAAATCTCCACAGATAAATGTTCTAGACCATGGTTGTAATTTATGTAATAATCTCTCTACTGTCCATAGAGAAGGTATTGTAGTTTGTTGAGCTTTATTATAGATATTAATAATGAATGTTAGTAAAATGGTAGTGCTTTGTACTTGTAAAATAAAACAATCTTCATCTTGAATCATTGTTGCAACAGTACATTGTAGGTCTGGTTTAAGCTTTGTAATAAAAGCTAATACTCTAGGTCTTTTTAATAATGACAGAGGAAATATTGTTGTAAATAAAGGATGTGATATAGTAGTGTTGTTTAGTCCAATCCAGGGTTCTTGTAGTAAAAGAATGTCTGTTGAAGATGATGCTAGATCTAGACATGCATACATAACATTAATAGATCTAGTACAATTGTGTTGAACTATTTGAATATCTGTTGGATTTCTATTCATTGATAGTCCATGGCAAGATGGTCTGTAGTTGATGTAGTTGGTAATAAGGCTTGGTATATAGAGCATTCTTTTGCATTGGCCTTGTGACTTCCCAAGCAGTTGCTGCATTTAATAATGCTATGAAAACAGGCCTTGCCTATAGTTGGTGGAGTACATATTGTACATGTATGTTGTCTTGTATTATGTAGTTCTGCACAGATTTGATATTTTGCTTCTTTAGTACATCTAGTATGTTGATGTCCAAATTGTTGACATTTGAAGCATTGGTCTGTTGGTTTGTTGTCTTTATATTTAATTGTTCTAGCTGATAGTCCAGCTATAAAAAGTCTGTTTCTTAAGGCTTGCTTGGCTTCTTGTTCTGTTTTGAAAGCTAGTACCAGAGAAGAATGTTCCTTGTATTGTCTTGTTTTTACAGATGTAATCCAAGTAGGTAAACATACAAGTTTTAGACCTTTGTTATATGTTTCAAGTTCTTCTTGAATTGCTTGTAATTCTTGAGGTCCTTGAAATACTTTTGTAGGAATTTCATGAGCAACTATTTTGTGCCATTTCTCATCTTTTGCAATTTGTGTTACTTCTAGTTCAGAGGCCCAGATAGCTTTGTATTGTAATAGTTAATAAGCTGTATTGTCTTGATGAGTAGTTAAGACAATGTTTGTCTTTGACTGAGATTGAGTAACACTTGCTACTAACAAATCATTGATTTTTGCTTCTTTAAGTTTTTTGTTGATCTGGTTCCTGATTTCCATAGCATTGAAAGGATTTGGCATCTGTTTAGGAGTAATAATTACTCTTCTATCTCTAAAGTAGGCTGCAGAATGGGTCAGGTTAGGGTCAGGTAGACCCCCTATAACCCTCCTGCTTGGCAACCCCCTGGGCTGGGTCAGGTTTACATTTTGAAGCATGACAGCCCAACAGGTAGAGTTGGATTACCCTACATTACCCTGTTTAATCCATATCTAGAAATTTGTAAACATGCAGGGTGTAACATGATTTTATTAGCTAAAGATATTCAAATAAGCCTTTATAACATGTTTTTTACTAAGAAAACTAGTATTTATTTCTAGAGAAGTAAGAAAGCTCAGAATCATTACAATTATTACATCAATTTAAAAAAAAAAACCCAGTTCAATTTGTAACACCATTATTTAAAAGCTAACCCTGATTGCTACAATTATCACATCAAATCAATTTGAATGTAGTAAAAATCAAGCATTGCATTGCATAAACATCTAACTAATTGTAGAAACCAATTTAAATCTTGCTATCCTTTCCAGTAATGATTTTGTGTACATGCTGCACCAGCTGCATATCCTTCTGCTAAATAGTAACCCTCTTTGCATGAATAGCCATTAGATTGGTCACTAGAAGTAGTTAGTTATGATTGCTACAATTATCATTGCAATACACATACTCTTAAATTCCTTTACCAGAGTTGCTTCTGCTACCTCTTGGAGGGTACCCAGAGCAGAGGACTAAATTCTCATGGGTGTGTTTGCTTTGTTGTTCATGATTTCTCTAACAACACATGAAAACAGCAATTTTGGCAGAAGGAGCTCAGTGGTCTTCTGGTAGCAGTGAATTTCACAGAGAGCAACAGCTAATAACATTAGTATATCCTCAAGTATAAAGAATGGATTACTTACTTCTAGACTTGTAGCAGTGAGGTCTTTTGACATTCCTAGCTGTGCTAGTAGTTTTGGCAGCAGGATGATGGTGATTAGCAATAGTAGGAGCATGCCTAGCCATTCTTGGTAGATTGTGTAGCCTTTTTGCAGAGGTATTGGTGGTGTTTGGAAGGGATTTTCCAGCAGGTGCCTTTCTTGTGGTTCTTTGAGCTACACATGGCTCTACAGCATTAGCATTACCAACAGCACTATCCTCAGTCACATCATGAGATGGTGAGTGTAAGCAGAAGGTAGATGGTATTGATGGAGTGCTTGCAAATGAGAGAGATGAAGTAGAATCATCCTCACCTTACCTCACCATCTTTGCAACCTAAGAATGAATTAGTAAAGAATGTAGGTTAGGGGACATAATTGTAGCAATAATTGTAGCAATTAAAAGCAAGCAACAGCATCAAAAAATAGTAAAATTACATAAAAACATGTAAAAACACATAAAAACATGTAAAAACACATAGAATCACATAGAATTATGTAACAAAAGAAGCAGAGTGCTACTAGAATGTTACAATGTGTAATTGTAGCAATCTTTGAAGTAATTCTACTCACCACCAAATGTTTCTGCTGTTTGTAATCTAAATATCATCAAATTAGCCTTTGTAATGAAAGTATACCATGAATATTGCACTATACATACTCTTCTTGATGAATGTAGCCTAAATTTAATGAAAACCCTGCTGGTAGTAGATTTCTTAATAAGGTTGTAGAAGGAAGAAGGATCATGATATTGAGATCTTTAGATATTTAGATTTCTACCACTTAGTCTGATTATGTCAGAACCATGCAATGCAAAGTAAATTCATGAAGTGAATTTTTATAGTGATATGTAAGGTGAAAGGTGAAGGTGAAGTAAAAGGTGAGGTGAAAGGTGAATTTATAGTGAGTGAGAAGTAAGTGTGTAAGATGGTAAGAAGTGAGTGTGTAAGATGGTGAGAAATGAGTGTATGAGATGGTAATAAATGCTTATATATTTTACTTCCACCTTACCTTCTCTCTTTTACCTCTACAATCTCCTGCCAAAATCTTGAAGGTATGTATAAAATTATCAAATCTAGTTATATAGCTATGCAAAATATATTATTCAGTCACTAATGATGAGCTCTATCTAGCCATGTATGCAACATCACCACAGCTCTTGAACTACAGGAGAAATTTGACAAAATGCTTGATAGAGTGGCCAAAGTTAGTATTCCTTGGTTCCTTGCTACTGGATCACCTTAATGATTACTACAATTGACCTGTAAGCTAACCCACCTTACAGGATGGATGAATCAAACCCACCCCTATTTCACTACCCTGTTGGACACCCCAAAGGCTCTGCAAACAAGTACAAGGCAGAAGCTAATTTCTCTCAAAGCAGCTTTGCCCAAAAGCATCATGCTCACCTTTTGAGCATGAATTCAATTAAGCTTGAGATTGAGAAAGCCAAGAACAATGACCACAATGTACACCTGAGGACTGTAAACAAAACTAAGCAAACCAACAAGTACAAGCAAGCTTTAAATGAGGCAAAAGAGGATTTAAAGCAGTAGGTAATTGATAGAGAAATATACAAAAGGTAAGCTAGAATTGTAGTGATCTTTAAAGTGGTCTGCTAATCAGCAATCTAGATATGTCAATGGTACTAGCACTTAGGCAGTCTTAGCCAAATATGGATATAGAGAGGATGGTAGCCTATTTGCTTAGGCAGATGACAGCAACCCTGTGTAGAAAGATGTAGAAGACAACCCAGATGATCCTTTTCAGGAGAAGTGCTAGCAGAATGATGATTTGGAGAATGGTGAGAACCTACCTGCAGAGATGACTGAGAAGGAGAGAAATGAAAGTACTGTAGATATTGACAAAGCTAAGCAAGGATCTTTGTAAACAATTGCCTTCAAAACCTGGCAAGACTATTGGAGAAATGCTGCTTCTACTCTCCTGAAGAAAGAGTACATTCTATCTACCATTCCTCATGAATCTTGGCCAGAGAAGAGTAAGGGTGCTAGCATCTATAAGGACATTAAACCTCATTGCTTTTTTACAACTTTTGAGATTGCTGTTTGGGCAAATTAGGTAGCATGATCTACTAAAAAGTGGGTTACCCTGCCAGGACCAGCCAATATGTGGCCAGAAAACTATGACTACCAATGTCATGGGTGGAAGATGGATGGAGAGGATCATGGCTAGCAGCAGGTCTTTTAGCTAGTCAAACTGTTAGAAAAGAAATTGAGGAATGGCAGTGTGCCTGCAAAGTAGTTGGAAGTCAAGGATCATTTACTTGAATTTGTCATTTAGAGCATTAGAAGTTATTAGTTGCATTGCAAGACCTTAGCTAATTAGTGCTATCATTGTAGTGATCCTACTATTGGCTACAATTTAATGTTTTATCTACTACTAAGCTATTAGATGTCTATTAGTACATGGAATTTTCAGGGGTCTGAAATAGTAGTGTAATGCATCTGCTCTATAGTTACTATCATTTACATACTATAGTAGAATGTTCTTGTTGTTATTTATTTTCTGAACTTTTAAATCAAAAATCCTCTCCATTGTCTAAAAAATATTTTCAAAAATTCTAAAAAATTCTCTGAGTGCATAGATGACTGGAAATACTACAGTTTTTACATTCTAAACTAATAAACTTAGCATTAAATCCTTTTCTAAGTCTTGATACTTTGAATGTCATGTAATATACCTATAATAAATAGTAAATACCTTGTTAGAAAAAATTGTCATATGTTGTAAGCAGGGTTGTACTAATGATTACATTAATTTATCTCTTTTGGTATTTATACATTTATGCATCTACTAATGTATATGTACAAATCCAACCCTCCTTTTTTCATGAATTTTTCATGGATACTGCAATATACCATACTTTTTACATACAATTATACTGACAGCATGTCATTCTAATCAATTGATCCTCTACTACTATCTGATGATAAAGCTAGTAGCTCTTTTCTTCTATCATTAGTACCTTTAACATCTACACTACACTTAGTACCTAGGTCAAACACTATTATCAGTGATCTTGATCAATATGACAACTATATCATCTTTTCATATAAGACATTTGAGAAATTCCTAGCCTGGTGGAATGACACACCTTGAGCAATTAGAAATGCTAGTCACTTAGTAAATTCTATAACTTCACCTGTTAATATATGTTAGACCTCTACAACATGTACCTCTATAGTGTAGAATAGCTTTTCTCAGGTTGCTCATGCTATTGAGGGTATACCTAGAGTTCTCTGCAAGCATTGCAAGCAACTACTTTTGCATCCTCAATCTAACAACACTGGAACATCTGCTCTTGGACAACATCTTGACTTAAATACTTATAAAAAGAAGCAGAAAGGAGTCACACAGCAAAGCCTGTAGACATGGGCAACTAGATCTATAAGTAGTATTCCTTGGTGGTGGGAGATTGCTCTAATGATTGCCTCATTTAGGTATTAACCACACCTGCAAGTCCCTTGATACCAACACCCTTTTCCAAGAAAGCATGGGAGGTTGCAATCCTTAATCTCATTGCAGCATTAAATTTTCCTTTTCAATTTGTTGAACATCTAAAGTTCTATAAACTCCTGGATTTGGCTCACCCTGACTGTACAAAACCAAGTGAAAAGACACTATAAATCTGTCTTAGAGACACTGTGGATGAGCTAGAAACTACATTCATGGAGAACATGTCTTCAAAGGTTTCATTTGTAATTGATGGCTGGACAAGTCCCAATGGGTATAGCTTTCTTGCTATCCTAGCATATTTCATTGACAACAATTAGAAATTCCAGGAGGTGCTTCTTGGGTTTAAGTAGGTCAAGGGAGGACATACTGGACAAAATATGGCAGTCCTGGTTGCAAAGGTAATACAGAAGCACAAGCTTGAAGATAGGCTGCTTGTAGTTGTCTCAGACAATGCAAGTAACAACACTACACTTGCTCAGAACTTGGAGACATTGCTTCTAGAACAGTCATTTCAAGCATCTTCTGGTTATTTATCTTGCCTTTTCCATGTTATCTAACTTGCAGTTAAAGAATTGGTTGAAAACATTTATGTAATACTAACTAACAACAACACAATTACAGAGTAGAAGACAAACATGATAGATGATATTAGTAATGAGCAGTATAGCATTCCTAGAACTATCTCCAAGGTATGGCCTAATATTCTCATTTAATATAATATTTGTAGTAATTACTAACAAGACATTTATGTAGTTGTACAAACTGGCTGTGTTTTTTAAAGCAAGCCCTCAGAGACATGAGTAGTTTTATGAGATGCAAAGTGGCTTCAATCTTCATCTTAACCTAATACAGGATGTCTAGACACAATAGAATTCTACCTGTGATATGCTTACTTGTACAATCCAACTACAGGAGCCCCTGGATGCTTGGTTTAGATTACTAAGTAATGATGATTCAATGCAAAGTATGTCTATTTCAGCTGATGAATGGGTGCATATCAAGTATGTAATTGAATTGCTTAAGCCATTTACAAAGTATACACAGGTGCTAGGTAAAACCAAAGATGCTACAATTCATCATGCTTTCTCTGTGTACAATGATTTATTTAACCACATAGATGACTATACATCTCTCCTACAACAAAAGCAGCAATCCTGGAAACAGAATATGGTTAATGCTCTTCAAGCCTGTCAGGAAAAACTCAGTCATTATTATGGAAAGACCTATAATGATGGAGGACAAATCTATTCCTGTACAACTATACTAGCTCCTGAGTATAAGCTATCTCTTTACAACAATGCAAACTGGGAACCAAGTTGAAAGGAGGTATACAAGAAAGATTTCTCTCAACTTTATCAAGATAAATATAATTCTAATGCAACCTGCATAGAACTAGTATAGCCTGTGGAGCTTCTAAATGAAGATGACCTTACATCAACAATTAGAAGTAACAAGTGTTAGAAAAGAAAGAGGAGCAATCAGGGACCAGGTAAGATTGCTAGGTATTTCTGTGAAAGTAGTATTCACAATTGCAGTAATAATTGTAGTGATCCTGCTAATCAAGATTTAGGGGTTGTTGCAAAGGCAGAGCCACTTTAGTACTAGAGGCAAAAGCAAAATAAATTCCCTGGGCTAGCAAGTGTAACAATGGTTACAAGGATCAGTAACAGATGGCACAGGGCCTACTTATGAAGTGTAGAGGCATGGTATGCTGCATGATATCACAAGACAAGTGGTCATGTGATAATAAGATAAGAAAGCAGAGAACAGTAGTAGAAATAGTGATCACAGTAATCACAAGTGATTACAAGGTGATCAAGGTGATCAGGTGTGATCAGCATGGAACAGATTGTCTATATAAGGAGGATGGTTTTCCTATGTAACTAGAATTGTTCTGTGTAGTTCTTAACATTATTGTTTAGCATTACTGCTTTACAGTAATTGGTTATCAGTCTTCAGATATTAGTACAACAACAATCTTATTACTTTATCTACCAGGCCTGAATTACTATATCATCTTATATCACTCCTATTACTGAATAATATTGCAGGACACTATATTACTAGGTGAGAACCCTTGAGATACTGATAGGGAACTATCTAGGAAGATACAACCCAATGCCTACCTGTAGGTGTTACTATAACAGAAGAACTACCCAACATTAGGACAAAGGTAATATAAGCAAAGGCATTTCACTATGTCTAGCAATTCAGGAACAACCACTACTAGGATGACCACAGTGGCAGTCACAATGCTCAGGGAGCAGATCATGGGACTCCAAGCTCAATTGACAACATAGCATCAACAGGCCAACATCAAAGTAGCAGCACCAGACAAATTTAACAGAAAGAGAGGAATGCTCAAAGCATGGCTTATTACTATGAAACTATACCTAGGATTCAACACAACAACCTTTCCAGGCAAATTAGACAAGATCTTAGCAGTGGGGATGTACATGAAGGGAGAAGCCCTAGAGTGGTTTTAACCATACATGGATGACTACATGAGGAACAGACCAAATGATCAGATGGAAGCAGAGACTACACTCATCTTCAGCCACTACAACAAATTCAAACAACATATTAAGGAAGTCTATGGTGAGATTGACAAAGTATGAGTGGCAGAATGGAAGCTTCAGACAATGTAGTAGAAAGGATTAGCAGCCTCATACATGGTAGAGTTTATACAGGTAGTATCAGTCATGCCATGGAGACAAGTACCATTAAGTACAATATTCTACAATGGGCTCAAGGAGTGAGTCAAGGACAAAATAGCCAGAGGAGACAGGCTAGAAACCATGTGTGGAATGGTGGAACTAGCTGTGAGGATCAACAATCATCAATACAAACAAGAGCAAGAAAAGAAACATCAACACTCAGGACACAGGACCCACTATAAGGCAAATACAAAGAAGTATCAAAACAAGACACTAGACAAAGGTGACCCAATGGACCTTGATGCTATACAAAAACAAAAGTATAGAAACCCCATTAGTAAGGAAGAAAGACAACAATGCTTTGATGAGAAAGCTTGTCTTAGATGTGGAAAAACCAGACACTGGAGAAAAGATTGCAACACTGAATGAAAGAATCATGGGAAATCCAAAGATGTATAAACTCTTAGGATTAGATTCTTGGAGCCTATCAAACCTCAGGGATGGAAGGGAAGCAAACAGAACTGA